GCAGTTACGAACGGGGTTTGCTCCGCGTCTCCCTGGTCTGCTGGAGACCAGCAGACCAGGGAGACGGGGAGCAAAGCCACGGAGCATGCGGGCAGCGGACAGCCCAGACGCACCATGGCTGTCCCGCTGCCGGCGTCCTCAGAGGCTTTGCTCCCTGTCTCCCTGGTCTGCTGGTCTCCAGCAGACCAGGGAGACGCGGAGCAAACCCCGTTCGTAACTCGGGGACTGCCTGTACCTCATCTTGCACATTTTATTTAATTGGATGCCGGCGTCCTCAGAGGCTTTGCTCCCTGTCTCCCTGGTCTGCTGGTCTCCAGCAGACCAGGGAGACGCGGAGCAAACCCCGTTCGTAACTCGGGGACTGCCTGTACCTCATCTTGCACATTTTATTTAATTGGAAAATACTTTGATTCAGTGGTGATACATGGTATTGTAACTGCCACCAGGCAGATTTGAACCTGGGATCTCAATGTAGGAGCCTCTAAAGCTTGAACTATAAAGCCAGGTGGCCCTCAGCCTAGGCCATAGAGGTCTCTTGCTGTTATCTGTTGCTGTGGTCTAAGTGTCACTGCATGGGACAGTGAACCACAATAAGTGTGTGAGTTACACTATAAAAAATCCTAAAATAGATGAGTGCATGTGTGTGTGTGTGGGGGGGGGGCATATGTACACATACACCCATGGAGTTTAGTGAGTTGTTTACATTTACCAGCATTTATTGAAGCGCCAGGTTAGATAATTATTCTAATGAGTATTAGGCTTAAACTTTCAGTAGGTTAATTTTTTCATCCTAAGATGTGTTTTGTGACAGGTATGAGTACAGCACAATTGGAAATGAGATTGTCTTGTCTGCATGCACTGTGCTAGAATTAAGAAGCAAGTTATTCGGAAGGTAATCTGTCTCTCTCATTCCAGACAAAGAATGTATTTTTCCCCTTAGGCATGCCTGAGAAGACAGGAACAAAATAGAGAACAGACTGAGAGGAAACGAGAGCAACATGCCAGACAAGAACAGAGACAGAAAACTCTATCTTCCATCTATGCTACACGCAGTTATGAAAGACCATGGATATCAGGCATACCAGCTACCAGACAGGTACTTAAACCATAGGTCACGCACGCTTGATAACTTAAAAGATAAAGTCAAGTAGAACAGAATATTGTTAGAGAGTAATGGTCTGCCGCTGCATAAAATTCCAGGGAGAAGGGGAAGCAGTTAATAAAAAATGATCGGTGAGGAACAGCCAAAATATTTACTTTTACATTGAGCCTTTGAGTGTTGCATTCCAGTGACTTTATTTTTTCCTGTCAAATTATGGACATGTTATCATTTTTAAGGGGGATACTGGATAGGATAAGTAGCATTTGCTAATTGTTCGATTATAGAATAGCTACATAGTTTTAAAATGTGATAGTGAATTTAATGGCAGTTTTCAGGAGATTTGCCAGTCTACTATATATTTTAGAGAGTTTGTTTGTCTGTCTGTCTGTGTTTTCTCCTTGAATTCCTGGTAAATGGTAAGAGTTAGGACTGTCAAATTAAGTATGCAGCTTCCTCTTATCATAACTTAAAAGCAAGATAAGTGTTTGGTTGTACCATGAAAACAGGATGTGCCTGGAATGGGATTGCGTCTCATAAAATCAAACAGAAAAGAGACAGAGTTACCAGGCAGGTGAAAGGGGCTGGCTGAAGCTCTCCCCAACCCTGATTTGTATGGGAACATTGCTTACTGTTTCCCTTGTCAGGGAGCAAGGGGAAAGTGCACTGTTTGCTGCTTTCCTCACTCTGGCTAGGGAGCAGAGGGGGCAGATGAACGTGGATCTGCCCCAGCTGAGGGACATTCACCCCTCCCTCAGCTGTGCCCCTGAAGCCGCAGTGGCCATAGAGAGGCATTTTTCACCTGGCCCCAAGTTGCTGCGGAGAGAGTGCCTTCTCTCCCTGGGGCAGCCTGCATACTAAACCTCTCATCTTCAGCTCCACTCCAGAGCAATGATTTAAATGAAGTATGTAGATTTTCATTTTATTTCCCAAAAAATGAAAATTAATTGAGTTAAGGATCTGAGCAACATCAGAAAAATCTTCTAGCAAACTGAATATTAAATTCTTCCATATCTGTGGAATCTTTCCATATGTCAAACAGTGAGCCAGATCATTGGTCCTACTAAAGCAGTTTTGTGTAAATATGGCAGCACAAAGGACCCTCAAAGCTGGTCTAATAGGCAGCTACATATGATCTCAGTGCAGGGTATCTCCAGCACCCTCAGAGTTCTCTTAGAGCAGTCCTGCAGCTGCTTTTAACTGGGGTCAGAATTGGATCCCTCCAACCTTCAGGCACTGAGAAGAGCAAATAAAGCTGCCTTTACCACCCTCGAGGGGCCTGCAACGTGCATTGTTCTCCTCAAGCCAATATTCAGAATCAGTGTTTCTGTTATTTCTGCAGTATAGGTTTGGAACTAACTGATCACCAGAGGGGATATGATTATGATCTGGCTTCAGCATGTTGTTTCTAGCATGACACACTTAAAATCTGAAATCTAATATAAGTTTAAATTGTGGCCAGTTTAGGTGCAAAAAATATGTCAATATTCAGTGTACTGCGTCCTCCTCGCATGTGGAGCTAGTGACTCAACAGATGGATAATTACCAGGGAAAGAATAAATACTTTAAGTGGATTCAGTTTTTTTCCCAAATATATTCACATTTTAAGTGCTGAAATATACAGACCTATTTGACAATATGTACACATTTTGACTTGTGTATAAATTGTTTGTCTTGTTGTGATGGGGTGGACTAGGCCTGACCTCCTCGCATGTGGAGCTAGTGACTCAACAGATGGATAATTACCAGGGAAAGAATAAATACTTTAAGTGGATTCAGTTTTTTTCCCAAATATATTCACATTTTAAGTGCTGAAATATACAGACCTATTTGACAATATGTACACATTTTGACTTGTGTATAAATTGTTTGTCTTGTTGTGATGGGGTGGACTAGGCCTGAACGGGCGCTCCAGGCGCCGGGGTTGGTTCCCCAGAGTCTCTCTGGGTATGTCTACACTACCCTCCTAGTTCGAACTAGGAGGGTAGTGTAGACATACCCTCTGTGAATCCCCACCCAGGCAGACCTAGGGACTGACTGGGAGGATAGCAGCACTTTGGACAGCTCCAAGTGGGAACTGGACTTCAGACCTGGTAGGCATCCAAGTCCAGGGGCTGAAGACTATCTGTTAACAGACTAAAACAACGTGTAGAACCCAGGACAGGGGGCAGGAAGAACTTCACCGCAAAGCCCTGAGAGAAAGGGCTGAACAGGGCAGCTTCCTGGGGAAGTGGCCCAAGGAATGAGAAAGCAGTGGACCACAGTGATACTCTGCAGGCAACTGCTACTTACAGGGTCCCTGAGCTGGGACCCAGAGAAGCAGGAGGGCCTGGGTCCCCCCCAAACCCTCAAAAGTTACAAAAGGGGGATAAGAAAAAGCCTGGTCTCTGGGATACCTCCATTCCCAGAGCGAGTCAGGTAAAGAAGTTGCAGACACACCCTCGAGTATATAACGCTTGCAAGAGGGTAAACCCCTTCACACTAGTACACAAATATATTCAGTAATTGCTATGGTTACTGTGAAGCTAAAAGATATCGTGTCCCTTGACAGTAGAAGAGGAGCTGCTGAAGAGCCAGGGAGCTGCAGATAAATGCCATGCAAGAGATAGAATATGGATTTGCCAATTCTTGATTTAAACATTTTCAAAATATATCAACATGGAATAGACATTAAAAAGAGATAAGTACATAGGAATGACAACCCGGATCTGACCCAGATACTAGTTCAGTATCTGTCTCTGAGGTCAGATCTATACTAAACCAGAAGGTTGGTTTAAGATATGCAATTCCAGCTATGTAAATAATGTAGCTGTAGTTAATGTATCTTAAGATGAATTTCTCCAGTGCCCCCACAGTGAGAAGTTCTGGAGTCAACTGTTTGCCCTCAGTGTTCTATTTAGTGTTAAAATGAACTCCAGAAGTTTGACCTCTGCGACATTGATCCTCTGTTTAGTATAGGCATGGCCTGACACTGCTTAGACTTAGCTTCTTTGGAGGAAGGTACAAGAAACTCTGCAGTAGGCAAATATGGAATACATGCTCCCAAGAAAGTTTCTTCCAGCTCTGAAAGTGGATGGCTTATATCTGTTCCAAAATTATTGTTTTGGTTTCATGTTTTGTGACATTAAAAAACCATATGTACTATGTGGTCTCACTATAAACAATGCACAACTGCTCACAGGACTTGGCACTACATACTATAGCTTTTTCAAAATGTATTGTATGCAGAACTATTACTAACAGTTTCCCAGATTTTCTTGTGTCTCAGACTAAATTTCTAATTAAAGTGGGGGTAAGTGAATTTGTCATGGAAACACCAGGTTCCTTTCACACACAATCATTATGGGTTTCCTTCAAGATCATGGGGAGAGTATATGTCTCCATGTTATGTCCTGCTTGAACCCCACCTGCCTGTGCTTATTGTTGATAGTAGCCCTGAAGACACTCTCATAGCTCAATTAATCTCTTCAGTAGTAACCCCCATGACAGACAGGAGATAGAACCTGGGCAATTGTGTCTGAATAGGGAGGTATTCAAAAGCATTGCCCAGATCTCTGGAGCTCTGAAGATAGCTTTATTTGACTAAGTCAAAGAGAAAAAAAATATTTTTCTTCATCAGATTGAGAGATTCAGTGCCTTTCCTTCCATTTTATTATTGGCAAAGACAAAAGATCGCTATGGAATGGGTCACAGTGATAATAGTTGTTTCTGACAGATGATGCTGTCTGTCTTGAACTTAAGACAAACACAGATAACATTTGTGGTGGTGCTGTCTCAAGTCAAAGACTTTTTCTGATGCAGGACAAATTGCTAACTTGCTAACCCTAAGTCCAACTTGCTATGTCTAGCAGCCTGGAAGTTGAGAAGGAAAAATTAATATCCCTGGGAGAGTCTCAAAAAAAAGTCAATGAAATGCTCCTGTCTCCCAGGAAGAAGTCAACAAACTCAGCAGATAGACGATATTGGCAAAAATTGCATATTAGTGTAATAAATAACATGGATTACTTCAATCAGCAAAAATTAACTCCATGATGACTTTTCTGCAAATCACCTTGCTTATGAGTAGTAGATTGAATACTCACAAAAACATCTTTCAGCCATCTCAATCATGATCATCTGCAAAAGACTTTGACTGATCACTGGACCACAACACATATCACAAAATAAGTATGTATGGGCAAAAGTAGAAAGGCCATTGCCTCTTGTCCTGCCCTCTGTGGCAAAAGAGAATGACTTTTCTTCATCTTTTTTGTGGCAGTCATTCAAGTGTCAGAAGACTGCTATCCTATCTCCATTTACTCTCCTTTCCAAACTAAACATACCCAATTCCTTCAGCCTTTGCTTATATTGCATTCTATGCTTTTGATCATCCTTGTTGCTCACCTCTGGATCCTTTCTGATTTCTGTACATACTTTCTATATATTGGTCACCAAAATTGGATACAGTATTCTAGATGAGGATTAATTAACACTGAGTAGAGCAATACTATAACCTATCATGACTTTCATGCTATGCCTTGTTAATGCTACCTAAAACTGTATTTGCTTTTTTGAAACAGCATCGTATTGTTGGTTCCTATTAAGGCCGTGATCCATTACAATTCCCAGATCTTTCTCAACAGTGCTCCTGCCAAGCGATTTGTCCCTCATTTTGTGTTTGTGCATTTAGTTTTGCAATTTACCAAGCTCCCTCTGACTTTCAGCTCTATTATCCAAAGTATTGGCAACTACTTCTAGTTTTGTGTCATCTGCAAAATTGATCTGTTTAAATCTGTAAAGATGTATATTAACACTGTATCCAGAACAGATACCTGTGGAACCCCTCTTGAGACTTCCTTCCAATCCATCATCATATATATAGTAGACCAATGTCTGAGACTCTGTAACGCTGAAATGCTGGCTGTTGCCTCTGGGTGGTGCTGTTGCCTGAGTCACGTCCTTTGCCTCCTGCCATGGTGCTTGGCTGACTTCTGTGCTGCTCAGCCAGCACCCCCATG